AAATCTTTTTAAATCATTGTTTACATGTGTTGAAATTTTTCTAGAAGAAAAAAGAGCATTATTCAATTTAAAAATCAATATTTTTTCTCCATCTATATAAAGTGAATAAGTATCTTGAAGTGAAACGTGTTTCTATATTATATATTTCCCTTCTTTAAATATTATTAGCAACCTGTGTCATAAAATTACGCCCTCAATACTTTGTTTTATTTACGAATTTTGGTGTAAAATACCAAAAGAAATTTATTTTCTTTCATGTAAAAAATACCTTTATATATACAAAAAATTGCACTTTAGATAATCCTTATTTTTCGTAAAATTTTAGATAAAATATAATTCTGATTTATTTACTTTAAAAAGTTAATGGTACAATAAGTATATGCGTAAGTTAATATTTGTGAGAATTCCCCCCCCCCTTATGAGATGCCGCATGTATTTATTCCACATAATTCTATTTATTCCTCATCTGGCATCAGTAATATTTGGTAGATGTTATGGGAACGGGGGATCAATCGAAATTTTGTTGAGGGCGTTTAATTTGCACTTAACGATGCCAATCTCAGTATAACTTCCTCAATCCTCTCCAATTCATTACTTCCTTTCAGAATCATTTTAACCTTTTGCTTTCACTGAGATTCATATCCTGTACTTATAAAAAAGGTCCAGTTTTGTAGCTCTAGATGATTCTCTTCCATTCGTTATAGAAACAGACGAACCATTTGTTTCAACTCCACTCTTTTTTCAAGCTACACACTTAGCCTCAATTTTTTTTGTCACACCTTGTATAATTTTTAAGTAAAAGTTGTTTTATACTTATATCGCTCGCTCTGCTACAATTTTATGTATTTTTATGACTTTATAAATCTATTTTTAGATCATTGAATCTGGCAATAACTTGTTTATTGTTCTTTGATTCATCATGATCTATGCATTTTTGAATTTTTAGGTTAGCTACCTCTTTTTTTGTTTAAAATGTATTTAGAACTTCTAACCATCATTTTCAATAAGGATTTCGCTCAGCATTGTAAACAGAAAGGGGAAAAGTTGACAAAAACCTTAAAACTAGTTAAACCTCAATTTATATAAATTTAAAAGCTGTCGATCAGTATTGTTTGCAATACTGCAGCATCTATCTTTAAGTTTCCAAAATGTCAGTGACTTTTTTTAACTTTCATATTCAAGTCTCACGACGTTTCGAAGGAGCAGTTTTTTATTTATTTATGAAGAGGGTTTTTCAACATCTTTACTGCGAGACAAACCAACGCCTAATGTTCCGATTTTCAATTGGACTTTTTTTTGTAGTTTAAGTTTCGAGTGGAGAGTCAAGTGTAAGAAATTACAGTAAGAAAAATAATTATAAAGAAAATGAAATGGGTATGGAATTTTAAGGCTGGATTATCTTTTCTGAGAAAGTATTAGCTGTTTAATTTTGTACTGGAATACTACAATGGGAAAATAAATGTTAAATGAAAGTAGAATTTGGTTTAAGTTATAATTTGATTAACCTTATACACGTATAAAATATTTCTCCTTCTTTCAATGTTCCAGGAAACCTAAAATCAAATTCCTCTGAATTCGATGATACATGACAAGTAGGATCTGAGAAAACAAATTTAGATCCCCTTAGAGTTTGTACGTTTTAAATCGAACAGTTTCGATAAACGGTCATAAAAAAATATCTAATAAGTATAACTAAGTGTAACCACAAATGGAATCCTTTTCTACTTTCTTTGAGTCAGATTAAATTACTTAAAAGCAATAAAAAAATTCCTTTTTTGTTTCATGTTCAGGACAAAAAAGAACCGAGGTCTAATCCATCGTGTTTGATCATTGTGGCCTTCGACTGTCTTTTGGTCCTCGTACCATTCAATGAAACGATTACGGTCACTTCTATCGAGTCCATTTCATGTGTCAAATGAAGCCGGTCCACTCGTTTGTTCCCATGGGAACCAAACACACTGAGAACTTATGGAGGTGATTTAAATGATCGATACGGCGACCTGTATCGGGGCGCCTCTGTGTCTCATCGAATTTCCAGCCCCGAGCTTCTGGGATCGCGCTACCTTGCGGCGCCCCCTGGATTCTGTATAAACTATGATGTGGATTATCCTCTGACTAAGCGAGTTCCCACCGATAACTCATGGATTGGAAGATATTTCCTGAAATGCAATAAGTTGCGAGGTTTCTCCCCGCTCAGAGAAACTCATTATATTACACACAGGAGAGAAATGTATGTTATTGGCTAGGATGTAATTGTTATGAATCAATAAAGAGGGTAGTTCTGGTGGTGATCGTGTTCCTTGCTTTAAAAGTAAACAATCCTCTTTTGTAAACTGTTTGCATGGGATGGGAAAAAATCTGATTTAATTTCATACGTGGGTGTGGTCGACCATTTACCGTAGCGTGTAAATGAAAGGAACAGATACAGTGGCGTGACGGAGATGATTAGGACCCCCCCCCTGCAAAGTCAGGATTTGGGCCCCAAGCCGGATCTTACGTAGGGTATATACTTGGCGTCATTTAGGATTTGGGCCCCCTAGAACCCTGCCCCCCGCAATGCGAGGGTGTACGTAACGCCACTGGATAGATGCGACTTTTGTGAAGCAAAGTCTTGAAAGTTGCCGAAATGGCTAAGTGTGGAAATCAGGAAGGTGATCAAGTCAAATGTTATTTTCGTCCCTCGACCATCACTCTCAAATCGATCTCACTTGAAACACTTTTAATTCTAATCGAGTGAATGTTTAAAAAAATTGTAAATTTGGCCTACTGGAGAAGGTTACACTACAATGTGATGACCCTAATTCTGTATCTTGGACAGAAAACTACTAACAGCCAAAGTCCTATTAGGAGCGATTTTGAAGCCTCAACTGAGTGATTAATAACATCGCATTATATAAAGCAACAGAGAGCCTTCGGCAAAGAATCTCGTTATTTTTAACCACGGTCAATTGACGAGGATGACACCTGAGCTGGCATCCCACTCTTTTAACTGCCACACCATTCCGACTTTGAACCACGAGAAATTTAACGTATATTATCCCCTCTAAACGGCTTATCTTAAATGTTACTAAGGCTCGAACTCATGATATGCTGGCTACCAGACCTTGACCACTAGACTACCTAGGCCCTTAATTCTAACAAAACTTTAAGAATAAAAATTTAGATGATTCACTAGTTAAAATTTAGTAAGGAAAGGATAAAAACCAAAAGATTTCTTTTATGTATGATGTAACTCTTTTTTTTTAATACAAATTTTACAACAGATTTTTCTTTCGATTTTATTATAATCTTATTATATGCATTTTAATCGTCATTTATCTTCATATAATCAATTTTTAATTCTCTAGGCTCCATTTCAAGTGATATATGTTAAATATTGCCTAGGGGATTACGTTTGGCTCTGTTCCTAAAACTGTGTGAAACATTTGCTATAGAAACAATAGAACTGAAATCATTTCCACATTGTCAATTATTAATGTCAAACTTTTTGGGACTTTACTTTCATATTGATTTATCAATATTTATTCAATTACGTAATAACTGTAATTTCGTAACAATAATTATAGAATGACATAAATTAAAAGAAAGATATAATCACTATTTGTTTCAAAAACGTTCAATGGACTTATTCATGGCTGTCATGTGATAAATATAATCACGTGTTCTCCGTGGAATTCAAAACTGTTATTAGACTTATATTTGTTGTTCTACGTGTAAAGTTAAGATAAAATTAAAGTTTAGCAATTGATTAAGGATGTTCAAATATTAAGGTTCTTCACAAAAATTTTCAAAATTCAAATATATTTTTATTAGTGTACTTTTATATTAAGTTCATTTTGTTTATATTTCAGCTGTATTATTGTTGTTAACTATGTACTTTTTAAAAGAAAGTTTCTGCAAAAAGCAAAAGTTGGCAACAGTGAAGTGCATGAACTGATTGCTGGAAAAATATGATTGTATTTATCATATGACTATGACATAACTAGAATTTATGAACTGATTGACTTGAAACGGGTAATGTAGTTATCATGTGACTATGACGTCACATGAATTTACCCTTTACGCATGCACCAAATGAACGTGATTCAGAAAAAAAACTGACGATAAAGATGAAAATATAAAGTCTGGTGTGTAACAGTAAAAAAAAATTAAAAGAAGAAATATATTTCATTCCTTAATTGGCACCAAAAGTCTTTTTTCAAAATTTGCCTCTGGGTTATAAAAATTCCAAGTTTTCTTTTCTTTTGTTATAATATATGCTCTTTTCTATGAATTTCTTCATCTTCTTTTTAAGTTAAGATGGATTCTAAAGACTTGAAATTAAACAAGTAACATAAAAAAAATTAAGTCAATTACTGCTTAGGTCAAGACATTTTTTTTTATTTTAGTTACTTTTTACTAAATATTAACCATTAATGTAAATATGAATATACATATGACAGAATCACATTATTAATGACAAAATAGAGTCGCCTAACCGGTATAGTGGTTAGCGACGCTGACTGCGATGCCGTAGGAGCTGGGTTTGAATCCCGGAGAAGACATGGATGTTTGTAAATGTATAGTGCCTTTGCGGCAGGGGATACTCTAAATAGCCATCGAGCCGCAAGCCCTCTCGTGTGGTTGGTGGAAGGGATAGAGAGGTGGGAGGCCCCTGACCACCCCAGGTGTCCTCCCTCAAAATTGGGGTGGAAACGAGCCAAATCGTACTGTCACCTGTATGGTGTCAAAGCTATGGCCAACGACAGGCGTCACGACACCCCTTTGCCATGATGAATTTCGTGGACCACGATTTGGCCTTTGCCCATCAGGTGGCATCAGTAACAGCAACAACATGACAAAATAGAAGGCGAAGTTCCTTGCAATTTTCCATTTTTCTTTCTATATAGGGTGTTGGACTATTATTTTTGTTTTTGTTCTATTTATTCATTCATTAAATTTAATTATTCTAATAAAATAGTACAGTAAAAAAAAGGAAATCACATTCTCAGAAATGAGGTCATCCCAGGTGGGATTCGAACCCTTTGGATTAGAAATCCAACGGGCTATTTATTGCACTACAGGGACACAATGAACGATTTTCCTTTCTGTATATGCTGTTGGATTATTATTTTTGTTTGTTACTATTTATTCATTTTTTAATTGAATTAATGAATTAATATTTTAAAAACTGTATTCACATCAAGTGTAGTCCACTGCAAGTTTAAAAAATGTATTTGAGCTTGAATGGATGAATAGAAAGTATTTTATTAACTATTGAAAATTTGAACTATATATATATATATATATAGACTATATATATATATATATATAGACAACAAATTTTTTATACAATTAGTACACTCTCTCCCTATATATATATATATATATATATATATATATATATATATATATATATATATATATATATATATATATATATATATAGGGAGAGAGTGTACTAATTGTAGGAATTGTGAAAAAACAAACCTACATATAATCGTAGAAATTTTATTGAATTTTTAAGATATGTAAAGCTATAATACATACAAATTAAATCATGGAATGTATATGTAAAATATAAAAGTATCAGAAGAATTTCTTATGAGAAAATTAAATAATAATAATAATAAAAAATTGTCTAATAAAAAGTTCTACGTTTTATAGTTAAACGCAATTAACCCAGATTCTTCTCTTAAAACGATGACGCTTTGCTTTTAGTTATATAAACTATCCTTTTTAGAATAATAATTGAATTCTTGCCAAATGCAATCCCTATCTCAATCACATACTTGGCGTAAAACTATTTCTTTTACAATAGTCTACTTTCTTCATTTTATTGTGAAAACAGTAGATTTTTCACCCCGCATCTTTTATTCTATTCATGGTCTTTTTGTTGTGCATTAAATTCCCTTTTCCTGACCTCACAACGTGACGAAATGAGGTCAGGATATGAAATGGTCACTAAAAAGGATTTTGGCTTACGATAAAAGGTTACATTAACTTCAGTTCTGATTGGTTGAGATCTTTTTTAACTAGAAGTTTATGATACTAATAGAAGATTGGTCTTAAGATATGTGAAGAATACAGACAAGCTGATGGTCAATTCCAAGAAACGTAAAATAGAAGAATCTCTCTTCGAAATAAAAAAAAATACGAAATCTCCTGAAGTAAAAGAATATTAAAATATCTTTTGTGTGTGTGGTAAATTAATTTGTGTTTTTATGAAGATCTTATACATTTTAGTGATATAATTGTGTGTGGTGTGTGTAGCTACCAAACGATTTATATGAAAATAAAAATTAATTCGCCAAAAGATTCCCCCCCATATCTTTTTAAGTACGTCAATTAATTGACGTCTTTTTGCAATTTTTTTTTTTTTTTGCCATTTGGTTATACTATTGTAAGTAATTAATGAATGATAAAACATTGTATAGAAATAATTTTAAATATTTTTCGTTATATATTTTCAAATTGGAACGCTAAATTCAATATAGTTATATACACTGGTGTGCAAAAATTAAGGACGAGACGGTTTTTCAATATAACTTTGTACAAAAGCTTTCCAAATCAACACATTTAATACCGTAAGATCCCCAATACGTAAGGACATGTGTAATGTAAGCAACACTTACTAAAAGAGAAATCAGAGGGATAAAAAGAAGCTTGATTGAAAAAGTAGCATGGAGCGCAATGCGACTGAAGGCCGAAACATCCCTGTGATGGGTGTCCAGCAAGAAACATCTGGTCTTTAGTAGGGGATATGATCTCCCCTGACTGCTAGGCAGGTTTCACAGCGTCTGCCCATGCTGAGAATGAGGGTGTCAATGAGTTGTTGAGGCATTGCTGCCCATTCGTCTTGCAGCGCCAATCGAAGCTCCCGAATCGTTACTGGTGGTAAGGTACGAGCTGCCAAGCGTCTGCCTAGAAAATCCCATACATGCTCGATGGGATTGAGATCCGGAGATCGTGCCCGGCCAATCCATACGTTCAATATCCTCACTCTCTAAGAGATGTTCGGCAGCTACTGTGCGATGACATGGTGCATTGTCGTCCATGAAAAGGAACTGCAGACCCATAGCGCCTCTAAAAAGACGCACATATGAAAGAAGAATCTCGTTACAATAACGGCTCCCGTTGACTGAACCTGCGTCGAAGTTGTGAAGGTCTGTACGACTACCAAGCATGATGCCTCCCCAAACGAGAACACCGCGAACTCCATACCTGTCCCTTTCAATGATGTTCGAGGGATGATTGCGGCTTCCCCGCTCTCTCCAGATGAGTATGCGATGAGAATCGCTACTCAAACTGAATCTGCTCTCATCTGTAAAGAGTAATCGTCCCCATTCATTGTCTCTCCAATTCCGGTGTTCCCGGCACCACAGAGAACGCCTTCTCCGATGGGCAGGCGTTAAAGGTACACACCGTACAGGGCGTCGTGCAAACAGACCACCACCGTGCAGTCTTCTGGCCACGGTAAAACGCGATATCGGTCGTCCAGTCGCCTGTGTCGTGTGTCTAGCGATTTCTCCCGCTGTCTGCCGCCTGTTTCTTCTGTCCTGTAAGACAATGTACCAGTCATCTCCGGGTGTGGTTCCTCGTGGACGACCACTACTGAACCCTCGGATAGCTGTTCCTGTAGTTTGAAATTGTCTCCAAAGTCGTGAAACGATGCTGTGAGCAATTCCGAACTCTGCAGCCACACTTGTCACACTGCGGCCTTCCTCCAATTTCACAATGATTCGACCTCGGGTAAAAGCATACAGATGTCGTCTAACAGATTGATTATTCTCCATTTCTCGCTGAGGTAGCAACTCGGTGTGATTTTAACTGCTATACGGCGTGCAATCTCTTTGCCAGAAATACTGATTTTACACCGACAACATGCTTTATACTACTCAGACACCCCCCATTACGTCTACCTGCATATCTGCGCATGTGCTACCGTACATCACCTTACTTAATCTCCTGATTGGTCTTTCTGTCCACTCTGCCTCTTCGTTCAGCTGATATGCTAATTTTTCGACTTCGTCCTTAATTTTTGCACACCAGTGTAGTCAAATAATTATTTTTTTAAAAAAAATTACGAATGAATGTGTCCTCTTAAAAAATTTTCCTCAATCAATAACAAATAATGTAACTGAACTGTAATGAGATGTTCTTAAATATTCTTTTTATATGTATTATATTTATTAATATTGAATAAGTTTTATTTTTTGTGGAGAATTTAAATGAACATTTTGTTGCCTTTTTTTCTTTCCCTCTCTTTGATTCGAATGTTTAATACATGATTAAAGTTGGCATCTAAATCAAACATTTATGTTTTAACGCATTTCTTTTTCTTTTTGTACAAAATATTCTCTTAAACGGCCTGGGTTCATTCTATGTTCAGTTTAATAATCCGCTCAAGGTGTTTGTCAGGCGCAGTATCTGTCTCAAGGCTTATGGCTTCCAGCTTTTGTTGATATGTTGTTTACCGTAGACGAAGAAAAGCGTTGCTGTATGAATGTTGTTCGTCTGTCATGCTTAAGTCTATTTCTGTTAAATAATTGTTTATTTACTGGGCGAAAAAGTTTACATTGATATAATAAATGAAATGAAGTCTTCAGCGCAGAGTATCGGTGTTAAATTCTGCATATTGCTAATTTAATATTTTTAAAATATATATATATGGCAAGTGTTTATTTAAAATTGTTTATTTTAAATAAACATTTTGTCATCCATCCAAGGATCAGGTCAAGAGATAGGACATCTGTTTGGAGCTGTGCCCATTTTAAGTTGTTTGTTGTGTATTTTCGATGTCTCTGTCTCTCACGCTCACACATATATATTAAAAAGGATCTACAATATTTGACAACCTAAGGGTCTGCCAAGAATAGAAGCGGTGCTGCGTCTGGTGAAATTTAGTGATTTAGAAGAAAAGGTAGATGAGACTGTACATACTAAATGATGTGCCTTTCTAAAACATGCATTGCCATGCATTAAAAATAAAAATATATTATTATTCACATAATAAAACGTATACCATGCTTTAGATATATACCCCCATACTGTATGCTTTAAGGGGGAGTCCGGCACATGAATTTTTGAAAAATTATCGATTTTGACTTTTTTTACATTTTTTAAAAGTTCAAACATTTCTGCTTAAAATTATATATGGTATATAGAAATACGATAATTAGAAGTATTTTTATTTATTTTTTAAAAGGAAGCCACTCTCATTGACAGATAACAATTTTTTTCTTTAAAGCTTGTTTTCTGAAAATGCATTATTTTTCCCTTTATATGTACGTTTTTCTCTAAACCTAATTAATGTAGGATCCTGAAATTTTCGGTGAACATACCTTCAATATGTGTACACATTTAAATGGAGGTAATAAGATATATCTAGTAAACTGTTTTAGACAATGTATTTTTAAACTAAATTTTAAGGGGAAAAAATTTAGCATTTTTTAAAAAATTCATAATTATTTTAATTTTTAACAAAAAGACAAAACTGTCCATTAAAATCTTATTGATTGTACATATAAAATACTGTGAAAATTTCATCTATTAGTAGCTAGAAGTTTCTAAGAAAAAGGTACATAAACTTAGGTAATTTAACATGGGCTCCTATGGAAGTGCCGGACCCCCTTTATTGAACAGTTTTAGCATCAGTCACTCGAAACTAACGTTTTCACAATGCACTCTGATTTCATAACATTCTTTGTGATGGTGAGGATGCTGTTTTTAACACGCTTTTATTAGCTTAACCTGTACGTAACGTAATCTTTGAACTCGATTTTTACCCACTTTAAAACATCAGATTAATTCGAAATTTTGCACACTTGTCAAGGGTGCAAAATTTCGAATTGAATTATTGTATTGTCATTGTCAAGGACCAATGACAATACAATAATTTAATAATTTTGTTCCATTGTCCTGATCAGGATCATCAGGATTAACGATTACCCTTTTCCAGATTTGGCGACAAAAAGATTAAGTTACAACCCTAAAGTGAAAAAATTCATGGTTAATACAAATACAATAAACAAAAAAAAGTGTTCTTTATGGGAAAAAGGGAAGGATGCGTTGGTTGATCCAACATT